GTCTCTTCCAACCCAGTGATTCTGTGAAGATTGCATGGGGAAAAAAAAGTTCAGAGTGCTTCACCCTACGATTTAGAACAAGTCAAATTGTCCTTACAAGGATGGTGAGGCCATATCAGTTTTCAAATCACTTGAAGTTGTGACTCTGACACAACAAATTTATTTTAACACCTTACAAAAACCCCACATGATCTTATCAGGTGGTCAATGGAAACAGCACACTATGGAACAAACCCTTCTACAAGTTTGCTAAAACCACATGCAGTCCTAACAATGACCAAAACTTACCCTCCATCACAGCAGGAAACAAGTGGCCAGTTCCCAATGTTACATCAGTGATATAACTACACTACACTAGTCCTAGCCTAAAAACAATGCAGACTAGCAGAATCATGTGTTACAGTTAAGAAAAAGAAATCTATAAAAAATACCATCTAAGAATCAGTAATCTGCTGTTCTGTGGATTGTTCTCCAACAATTAATGAATAGAACTTCTGGGTGAATGGAATTTACAAACTTTCCCAAAACCCCACACAATATTAATAGTTATAAAAACTTAAGCTGGGGGCATGGAATTGGAAGTTTGCAGAAATCATCCTTAAGCACAGCACAAATATTATTAGCTGCAGCAGGTAATGGTAATACCAGTCTTCAAGTTTATTGAAGAGATTAATGAATTTGATAATATAACTCATATCACACATTGCTTTGTAGCATTAAATCACATTCAAAGACTGTCAAGCTGCAGTTCCCAAGGAGAGCCAACTGATGACTATCATAAATCAGCTGTTTATAAAGCCAGCAGTAACACTAGCATTACATTGACTAGAGAAACAGATCAAACACACCAATCCCTGCACTTTTCTAAAAATATATCCATCAAAACCAATCTATTTAAAAAGCTAAATTTAGTACTCAATTATTTTGACAGACACTTTGATCACAAACTACCTGGTCTATGTAAACCATAAAACACAGCAGAATACTTTCTAAGATTAAATAAATTTTCTAGTAGACACTGCAGCCTTGCTCAAGTGCAACCTGAGCACTGGGATCAAAGTCTTAAAGCTACCATTAGGAATTCACTGAGTAACTCTTTATGAGAAACTTCTTGTCAAATACATAAACAATGGTTTCAATGTAAAAAACAGATTCAAGGTGGCAGATTTATTAATAGCTTAGACTTCAAGGATCTGTAGTTTGGAACACTGTGATGCTATGAGTGTGGGCACACTGACAAATAAGCCAAATGTAGTAATTGCATTAAAGAAGTTCTTCAAAGCTCTTGTGCAATTTCACAAGTAATAGTTTAGTTGTCCACTACGGATTTCTCCTGGCAGTCTGTATAAAAACTATTATGGAAAAATGATTAATTTGACAGAATCAGATAGCCTACAAGTTTAAGGGATTCTCAAGTAACAATTTAGAAGCAATTATACCTTACAGTATAATTACCCGAGAGAGTATTCACACATTTAAAGTCTGGCTCATTTACACTTCATCCCACCCTCCTCTTCCATTGCAGGATCACACCTCATGGGCAGGTGGGGTGAGAAGTGCAGAGACCACAGGGCCCTGATGTGTCACACTCAGGCCAGCCTAGGCCCTCCACACTGCACAGCTTTTCACTTTCTGCAGTGACACAACACCTGCTTAGCTGCACTTCTCAGAACTGTAATTTTTTTGCTCAGACCCAATTTAAAGACAAATATCTCAAAGTTTCCTGACCTGTTGGTAAAGCTTTGAGACTTTTTAAGAAAAAGACTGTCTTCTTAACCGTATCTGAGTGCACTCAACATGTAAACTTCAAAACTTTCAGAAAGCCAACAGCAGCTGGGCACTGGCAGATGGGATGCTTTGCCATCCTACAAGCTCCCCTTCACTGAAAACTGTTCTTCCTATTTATGACAGCACAGCCTCAAACACTCCCCTTAGTAGTTCTATCTGGCTGTTTGGGTACATATTGCTCTCCACAAAGTAACAAGGTGAATGTGCAAAGCATTAATGCCTATACAATATAAAGCTGCAGAGTCAACTCATTTTTTTAGGCTTCAGCAGATTCTTTGTTTTGTTATCATGGACAACAGTACCATTTCCCTGCTTGAACACAGGGATCTTCAAGGAAATTGTGACATCCAGCATCACTCCCTGTATGAGCTACTGGAAAGCTGCACACAGCAGCACAAGTTTACAAGCAGTAAAACAGCATTCAGACAGCTCAAAGCAAAGGAAATTCACTAATTTGGTTCAGTTTGCCTGGCAGCCATGGTAATTTCCACAGCAAAACACAGCAACTTCCAGGCCCCTGCCCCAGCTGTACTCACAGGATGGCAAACATAAAACATTTCAGCTCTCCTTACATCAGCTACTTCCCAAAATCAAACTCAGCTTCTTTCTAGGCACATTTTGCTGCAGCAAAATAACTTTATAGCAATGCATCAGTGGTACCTTCCAACTAATTAATACAAAATTGAGCTCCCTAAATTTCATTCATGGGCAGACCTTAAGTTATTGAAGTTATCACGAACATCCCCTGTCAGGAGAAACCCAGACATAAAACTCCACCCCACCCACAGTGGTGTGACTGCACAAAGACATCACAAATTCATCCTCTATGAGGGATGAAGTGCTTCAGGATGGACCAGCTGCTCCATGTTTCCCACTGCATCCCCTGGAGTACAGGCATGACAATCCAAAAAGTGCCAGACTGGTAACAACTCAAAATCAACTTTTATTTTGCACCATTTTTATCTGTGCTATCACAGCATTTAAAAACCAGACTACAATAACAGCACAAGGACACAGAGGGTTGCATTATTTGTGGGGCATGGTTTGGGGTCTTTTTTGTTGTTGTTGTTGTTTACTTTTCTTTTAGGTAGCAGAACTGTCTTTCACCACCACACTCCACTGATCAAGCATCTTTAAAGCTTCTTCTGTACCCAACCAATCTGGGAACCTGGACATGTACAGAGATCATCCTGACAAGGATCCACTATTAAGGGTCAGCTGAATATTTGCCTCAATGTTCTGCCACAATGTACACAACTAGAAACAATTTTAGCAAAACCTGAACCTGGACAGGCTGACACTTTGTAGCAGGCTCCATGTCAGTGCAAGGTCACGTACACTGAACGTGGGACTAACACAGCAGGATGCAGCTGCACCCTGCAGTTTGAAAGAGTTTTAAAATCTAGTAAATACACTTATTCTCTTGTTTCAGTAAGTGATGAGCTAAACATCCTCCCAGAATGGTACAGCACAGCACAAACCTGTGGATGCAAAATGGAAGACTGTGAAGGGTAACACCACTTGTACATAATTTGTGATAACCCAGCAAGCTTTTTTCTCTGGTTTTACCATTCATCAGTCAAATACTATAGCTTAATCAGCTGAGGTATTGTAAACCAGCTTAGAAAACAGATTTTTTTCTTGCTTAAACCCCACAATCTTTCCAGACTCAACAGAGACAACTCTTCAACCCAGCATCATAACAACAATTTTTCAACCTTAGAGCTCACAGTAAATGATGCTGTGAGGGTAGCAAAAACTAACCACTGGAAGAGTTTACTTAAGAACGACTTATCTCCATCACTGTGGCTTTAATCTAGATCAGTTCTTCTTCTGGAACTCAGGGCCCCAATTCAGAAATTGGTGATCTTTCTCTTGGTTGCACTAAGCAAGTATTCAAGACAAGCTATCCAAACCACAGCTCATTCAGCGACTTAAGGGCCCCGTAGGCCCTGACAGGCCAGCAAGCACTCCTTGCACCCCTGGCTGATCTCAAACAAGGCAAATACGCAGATGTGATCCCGAGACAAGTGAAACAGACAACCGGAGGTCTCGGAACCGAGCCAAGACTGCACCGAGTAAATGCGGTACGGCCCGGAGACCCAGCCGAGCCCGCAGCGTGCCCCGCTCCGAAGCGACTCCAAAGCCCCAGGGCGAGCAGAGCCCTCGGCCCCGGCTGGCGGCGCAGAGCCCGCGGGGCGCCCCGGGCAGGGCGAGCACAGCCCCGCTGGGCAACCGGCCACGGAGCACCGGCAGCCCCGGCAGAGCGAGCGGCAGAGCGAGCGGCAGCGCCGTACCGAGCCTGCCCCGCCGGGCCGAGCCGTGCCGTGCCTGCCCCGCCGTGCCGAGCCGTTCCTGCCCCGCCGCATCCTCGCTGCGCGCAGCCGGCCTGCAGCCCGCGCCGCGGCCCGCCCCGCCCGGCTCCTACCTGGCAGAAGCCCCGGCAGTAGGCTCGGGACGAGGCCTCCGACACCTCCTGCTCGCGCAGCTCCGTCTGCAGCTGCCAGAGGCGAGCGCGGAGCGCCGGCACCACCCGCGACACCTCCGGCCGCGCCGCCGCCTCGGCCTCCGCGTCCGCCATCTGCACCCGGCCCCACTGCGCGTAGGCACCGGTCACGTGACCCGCCGATGACCTCATCGGCCAGGGACGGCGTCACGTGACGCGCGCGCACGTGACGCTTCGCCGCGCCCGCGCGAGGGGCGGGGCGGGGAGCGGGCGCGCTCCCCCCCGCGAGCGACCCCACGTGACGAGGAGGCGGTGCGCGCGGCCCTCAGGGCGGCGCCGGCGAGAGGGCGCTGCAGCCCCGCCCCCCGGGCCGTGAGGGGGCGCTGCAGCCCCGCCCCCCGGGCCGTGAGGGGGCGCTGCAGCCCCGCCCCCCGGGCCGTGAGGGGGCGCTGCAGCCCCGCCCCCCGGGCCGTGAGGGGGCGCTGCAGCCCCGCCCCCCGGGCCGTGAGGGGGCGCTGCAGCCCCGCCCCCCGGGCCGTGAGGGGGCGCTGCAGCCCCGCCCCCCGGGCCGTGAGGGGGCGCTGCAGCCCCGCCCCCCGGGCCGTGAGGGGGCGCTGCAGCCCCGCCCCCCGGGCCGTGAGGGGGCGCTGCAGCCCCGCCCCCCGGGCCGTGAGGGGGCGCTGCAGCCCCGCCCCCCGGGCCGTGAGGGGGCGCTGCAGCCCCGCCCCCCGGGCCGTGAGGGGGCGCTGCAGCCCCGCCCCCCGGGCCGTGAGGGCTCCGGCACGGCCCCCCAGTGACAGCCCCTCTGCGATAAAGGTGACTGACTGCAGGGCCAGGGGACTTGAAACATGATAACGGAACCGGCCAGAGCCGGCTTTTTAACTTAGGTTGCCGTTACTTTAATCTCCCGTTAACAGCGCGGTGTTGGCAGCAGAACGTTCCTGTCTCCAGGATAGCCCTGGAGACGCTGTTGCCCAGACACGGGACCGGGGAGGATGGTAAATAGCTTTTACCAAGAATTTGCAGTGTGTGTAGTGACATGAGATGCTGGGCCCATGGATCGGAGCAGATCTCTCTCTGTCCTTATCTCAATTAATGAAATACATATTTTTCTCCCCACTTCTCATTCATGGAGGGGAGTGACAGACAGGCTTTGGTGGGAGCCTGGCATCCGGCCAGGGTCATTCCACTACAGGAAGGGAAGGCAAGGCAAGAGAAGGGTAAGAAAAGTCAAGACAATTCAAGGGACCTTGCAAGATGTGGCACGGAAGTGTTTGGCAAGGCATGGAAAGAAGGCATAGACGTGGCTTGGCAAGTGAATGAAGTTCTAGGCAAGGCAATAGCTCTTCTGTACTGCGCTTGGGCTTCCCCAGTTTAGGTGGTGTTGGGGGTCTTCTTCGATGAAGGCTCAAGGTCTTCCTTGCATCTGAACTTCTCAACTTCGTCTTTGGAGCCCGCGCCGTTATGGTGTTCCTTGGTCTTACTGGAAGTAACCGGTTTAAATTCTCCATTTCGTGGCTAATTTGCTTTACATTTGCCAAATTCTCATTAGTACATCCTGATGCTTCCCAGTATAATTACACTTGTCTATTTTTGAGATTATTCACTTGGCGAGTTTCTGTTTATTTAAGCATTAAGCAACTAGTTAACCATATACTAGCTATTACATTGTACAGAAAGTTATGATTCAGGTTACACTGGTATAACTCAAGCTATATAAGCATCTTTGACCCAGGTTATAGAGGTATGAGCTGTCCTCATCTCCCTTGCCCGGCATTGCCGTGCTTGCCCAGCCCTGCATTTGCTCACCGCGGGTTCCGTTCGAGCGCCGTGATTCAGGTTATGTTGGTATAACTCAATCTATATAAGCATCTTGTAACTTTGACCCAGGTCACAGAGGTATCAGCTGTCCCCATTTGCCGTGCCTGGCATTGCCATTCTCGCCGTGCTTCCGTTCGAGCGCCGTGACCGGAGCGGACGGTCCCGCCCTTGAGGGCCCTTGGGTGGGCACACAGCGCCACCTGCTGGAGCTGCTGAGCGGGGAGCGGCCACGGGGTGGCGCTGTGCGCTCGAAAGAGGCGGCGCCGGCCATTGGCTCAAATTCGCCTTTTGCTTTAAGTTTGATCTTTTTGTGTTTTTCAGATCCTGTACTGCGTCAGTGTATAGCAACGGACTCCATATAGAGTGGGTAGTAAGCTCTCTTCACATGCTAGTCAGACAAAACGATGTGGTGTTTGTGAGGGTTCCAGGATGAGGTAGGAGATGAATCTGACTCCATGATCTCAGAAGACTGATTTATTAGGATATTATATTATATTATATTATATTATATTATATTATATTATATTATATTATATTATATTATATTATATTATATTATATTATGAAATTATATACTTTATAATTATATAAAGTATATAATTTTATATATAATATATATTAAAAGAAATTATATATTAAAACTATGCTAAAGAATGAGAAAAAGATACATCATAAGGCTTAAAAAGAATGAATAATAAGAACTCGTGATTCCTCAGAGAGTCCGACACAGCTGATGGTGATTGGTCATTTAGGAAACACAATTCACATGGAACCAAACATGCACCTGTTGGGAAGCAACCTCCAGACCACATTCCAAAGCAATCAGATAATTATTGTTTTCATTCTTTTCTGAGGCTTCTCAGCTTCCCAGGAGAAGAAGTCTTGGTGAAGGGATTTCTCAGAAAATATCACGGTGACAAAACAATCCCTCCAGGCTTGAGACCCAAGGACATCCTCTGCCTCAGGCCCCAAGAAGTATAAACAAAAGTGAGTCGAGGAGTGGGGAGCAAACTGGGCATATCTGACTTCATTACCTGAAGCTGTAATTGGACAATTAACCCCTGATATGCAAATAGACCAAACTTAGATCTGGCTGAAAAACTCATGACCATGGTCCATCTTGGGTGTAGCTTCTGTAAGGCTTCTGACTGCCCAGGGTGTGTCTATAGAAGGCCTTTAATAAATACTCACTTTATTCTCTTAACTGTGTCTAGCCTCTGTTCTAGGGAGCCCCTCCAAGGCATCATTGGGGCTACCTAAAAACAGAGGCCAGACAAAATTAAGATAATAAAATCAGGTATATTTATTTAAGGCTTTCAGGTACATTTTTGGCAGATGAACCCCTACCAGGGGCTACACCCAGAATGGATGACAGGTCACAGGTTTTCACACTTTTAAAAGTTTGGGCCATTTGCATATTGGGGGTTCATCTTCCAATTCCAGCTTCAGCTAATGAAGTCATTGACCCCAAGTTTGCTCCCCCAAGGCACTTTTGTTTCAATCTCTCAGGCCTGAGGCAGTGAGGTGTCCTTGATTGCCAGGCCTGGAGAGGAATTGTTGTGTCTGCCCAAAATGGGAAAGCAGCAGCTTACACTGTGAGTGGAGTTTGGAGTTACACTCTAAAGAATTGAAGGATTACAAATATGTAAAAATATAAAAGCTGAAATCCTAAGGCATCAGGGTGTCCAAGAGTGAAGATGCAAAGTTGAAAATGTCCTTCACTCTCGCTGAGAAAACGTACCAGAACAGAAAGATTTCACTGATCTTCCCTCCCATCTGCAAGCTTAAATTCACACCAGAAACAAGTGGCAGCTACATTTGCTTGCAGCTTGTGCACATAACAATGGTGGCAATGTACTTTTGTTCTCCACTGTATCACACAATTTCAGTCCTGCAGAGTCTGAAGTGTGTGTCTATTTCTTGCACAGAAAAATGTGTCAGGATAGAAGCAGTGTGGCAAACTGCTCCTGTTAAAACACGGTGGTGTCTTGCACTTTCTTCCTCAGCTATTCCTAGCATCACACTTTGTCATAGGGAGAGTTTCAGTACAGATGCTGAATTGTCTTTGTTTCTTCATCTCTGGTTTCTGCAACATGTTCTTGCAGTCTGTAAATTTTGCATTCCTGCTGTCCATGATGTGCTTAGGCCTGAGCAGCAGGACTCAGCCAGAGCTGACTTACAAGATCAGCCCTGGGTATTATGTGACTAACACAATCAGTATTATTTAGCTAAAATAATAGTTAAATAATTAACCCATTGCCCCCATTTACCACACTGCCCCCCCTTTAACGTCCCAGTTCACACCCCATTATTTAGCTAAAATAATAGTTAAATAATTAACCCATTGCCCCCATTTACCACACTGCCCCCCCCCCCTTTAACCTTCCAGTTCACACCCCATTATTTAGCTAAAAATAGATGACCAAGATGCTTATGCCAGCTGTTTCACACCAAACCCACTGCTTTGAAACTTGCACATAACCTTGTGTAGTTATCTGCTAGAAATGTATCATTTGAAGACATTTTCCCAACTGACATCAATAGAGGTTTGTTTGTAAGATAGTTTAGGGGAAACCCTCCCAGGCAAGGCCTGGGCTCTGGCCAAGCCTTGGGCCCTGCTGGTCAGGGAGTGTGCCATCAGATCCAGGTGTTTCTGGGCCAAAAATATAACCAAGCCACTCTGTCTTGTTAGTTTGGGCCTATAAAAGCTGGACCCAGTTTTGGGGCCCTTTGGAGACCTCACCTATGGGTGGATGCATCGTGCAGGATTTTCCCAATTGCTGGGAAGGATTCTCCAGGTCCTCACTGTGAAATGAGGCTCCCCAGTGACTGCAGACTCTGGAGGATGGCACAAGTATCTAGGCAATTTTGGAGGTATCTTTCTCAGTCACTCTGTAGTAATGATTAGGTGCATTACCTTGCTTTTTTCTTTGTTGCTAAAGCCAAGTGTGTGGAGTTTGGAGTTTTATTGAATGTATAATTTTACTTTTGTGTTGCCTTAATAGTCATAGTAAAAGAAGACCGTTCTTGCCACTGGTGTCTGTGTCATTTAAATCACCCCTATCAACTGGCAGAACAAGTTCTCAGCATCATTTCTCTCCCTCAGGCTTTGTTCATTGAAGGACATCAAGGTTGGTTTAGTAAAACTTTAAATTTCAGTAATTGTTCCAAACTGTTCTAACAATAGCAGTCTGTGAAAAAACTTTACTACATGCTGGCTAAAGTGGAAAATTACACTGCTTGTTATTAATTAAAATAATTAATTGAAAGTTAATTAACCCCATTAAGTAGAAAAATGAATTAGGAAAGTTCCATAATTTTTTGTCTCTAGGAGTATTGTAAGGTGCTGGTGTGGTGTTGGAGAGGCCAGGAGGAGTTTCAGTGGTGTTAAAGCAGATTTAGAGGGAATTGGAAGGATTGATTGGGTGGCATCAATCGGCCCTTCAGTGGTGCTGGGTGAGGTTTGAGAGGGCTAAAGAGGAGCTGTAGCTGGCTGAAATGGTTTCGGTGATGTTGGGATGGTTTGAAGGTGGATTGGGGGATCTGGGATGGTTTGGCTGTGAGGGGATTCAGTGGGTGCAGTGAGGGGTTTGATGGTTCTGAGGGATGCTCCCCTCAGCAGTTCCTCTAGCCCTGGGGAGAGGAGAACCTGAGCATTTGGGGGCACCTCTGGGAGTCACCCCAAGTGCCTCATGGTTATCACCCTCCTTCCCCTTGCATTTCCCACCCCTTCTCCCTTATGTTTCCTGCTCTTTTCCCTTCACATTTCCCACCATTTACCCCCATAATTTAAAGATTTAAAATAGTGTCAAAGAGGTGTTTTTGATAACTTAATCCTCAAAATAAGAAAAAAGGAGTTTTTCTCAATTTGAAGCCCTTTGTTCCAGAATCCTCTCCTTTTTCTGTTGTCACTGGGATGCACTGGGAAAAAACACTCAGATTTTAAGAGTTTTTATTTAATTTCAGAATTCTGTCAGTTTTTGGGTGTCCCCTCCAATTTGGCATACTCCACCCAAATCCCCTAATTTAGAGGAGACGCCCCTCATTAGCAGCCCCCATTAATGAGGCTGTGAGGGAGGGCAAGGGGGAGCTGGACCCCCTCCATGCTCCTCCCCCCACCAAACCAATGTGGTTCAGACTCATTTCACAGAAATTTGGGGGCAATTTCATTGAAATCAGGAAAAGTTAACATGGGGAAATCCCCCAATATGGGGGTGTCCCTCCATCTGATACCGGGGAGACCCCGCCCCTCTGACGTCACTCGGCGGTGTGGGGGGGGCGATGGGACCCCCGGCGGCTCCTCAGGAGGAGGCGGAGCTGTGGGAGAGGGAAGGTTCAGGGAGGTCCCCAAAACACGGGGTTCTACCCCAGAATACGGGGATGTCACCCAAAGGTCCTGGGACAGGACCCCACGGTTTGGGGGGTGGTGAAAATGAGGGGGTGAAGCAGCAGAACATTCGGGCATAGCAGCAAGGTTTTGAGGAAAACCTTGGGATTTTGGGGTTCCAGGAGCAATTCCGGGCATTTCCCCCCATCAGCAGGAAGTTTAGGGTGCAGTGGGGTGCTGGGTGTGAGGGTGATCGGGGGTCTCACCTGGTCTCCGGGGGCCCCGGGGGGCAGCAGGCTCTGGGGCAGGTCGTGCTCCAGGTTGCGGGCGCTGGGGTCGGCACCCCAGGCCAGGAGCAGCCTCACGAGGGGCTCCTGGCTGGGGGTCCCAGGCAGTGCTGCTGCCATGTGCAGGGGGGTGTTCCCGTGGGCCTGTGGGATGTGAGGGGGCTCAGGGTACCCACAAGTCACCCTCCAGCCCACTAGAGGTACCTCAGAGACCCTTGAGATCTGATACCGACACCTCCAGCCCCCCCAGACCCTCCACAGACACCCCAAAGCCCCCAGTGCCCTTTTGATCCCCCTGAGCCTCCCAGAGCCCCTTCAAACCCCGCAAGCCATTAGAGGAACCCCAAAGAGCTCCACAGAGCCCTCCAATCAACCCCAAGAGCCCCACAGAGGTCTCCCAGCCCCATGTGCCCCACAGAGCCCTTGGGGGAACCCAGAGCCCCCCTCAGAGCTCCCCCCAGCCCCACAAGTCCCTCAAACCTTCATGTTGACAAGGCGGGGGGCCATGCCAGGCTGGCGCAGCAGGAGGTGGGCCAGGGCAAGGTTCCCTCCCCGCACAGCCAGGTGCAGTGCTGTCAGGCTGCTTTTGGTGTCCTGGGGGCAAGATAGGGGTCGGGGGGGGGACCCACAGGAGGTCTCACCCCCCTACAACCTCCTCAACCTCCCCAAAGGGACCCCAAGAAATCCCAGTGCCTGGGAGCACAGATCTGTCCAGCCCATGGGGACCCTAAAGGGAGACACAGGGGTCTTTGGGGGGCACACAGGTGTTGTGGGGGTCTCACGCCCCTCCCCAACCCTCCCAAGGTACCCCAGTGGATCCCAAAGGCCAGGAGCTCAGGTCTGCCCAGCACACAGGGACCTCAAAGTGGGACACAGTCATCTTTGAGGGGCACAGAGGTCTGTGTGGGGAACCCAGGGGATCTGAGGGACACCTGGAGAGTTGTGGGGTACCTGGGGGTCCTTGGGGGGGTGTGTACCTGGCTGCTGCTGTCTGCCCCCATCTGCAGTAGCAGCTCAACACAGTGGAATCGGTCCTGGGGAGTGGGGGACCCCCTTCCAGAGCCCCCCAAGGGGCTGTGCCCTCCCTGCAGCGAGGCGTTGTGGGCCAGGACGGCGCAGTGCAGAGGGGTCTGGCCTGGAGAAGAACCAAGAGGGGTCAGGAAGGGCCCCTCCCCCAAACAGGACCCCCTTGAATTGGGAACCCTCCTAGGGACCCCCTCAAATTACAGACACACCCCCCTGGGACATCAACCAGGACCCCAAACTGGAAATCCCCCATCCTCCCAAAACAGTGATGCATCCACCAGGAATCCCACCAAGAGCTACCACAAAATGGCGCTCCTCAGGGTCCCCTCCAAACCAGGGACCCCCAAGCCCATTCTGTATTGAATACCCCTCAAGTGGGACTCTCCCAAGACACCCTGAAATAGGGACTCATCAGGGACCCCTGAGTCCCCCTCCCATTGGGGACCCACCAATTGAACTCTCCCCTGTCCCACCCAAACAAGGACTCCCCAAGAATCACCCCCACCACAAAACCAGGGGCCTACTGCAAGCCCCTTCACCACCCTTGCCCCGCCCCCCCCTCAAATTTGCTGACCCTCAAAATTTCTGGCCTCCACGTTGACAGGAACCCCCGAGGACATCATGGCCTGGGAAGGCAAGGGGAAAGATTTGGGGTCCCCCTGGATACCAGGAACCCCACTAGGCTGGTTCCCTGGTCTCCCAGAACAACTGCGTTCCTTCTGGACGCACTCTGGGGTCCCCTTTGAGAGGGTTTTGCGGTCCCCAGGGCTGCCCGGCCCTCCTGCGTTGGGATCTCACCTGGAGGATTTGAGGGTGCCCGTAGGCTGCGGCCAGGTGCAGGGCCGTGCGGCCCCCGTGGTCTGCGGCATCAGGATTGGCCCCCAGGACAAGCAGGTCCCGCACAATCTCCGGGGCTGCAGCAGCCGCTGCCACCAGCAGAGGAGTCTGGGGGCATCAAATGGAGGGGACAGGGGGGACTTGAGTGACTCCTGGGGGGAGTTGGATGTCTAGGGGGTAAAGGGGGTCTGGGGGCTCTTGCAGGGAGAAAAGGAAGGTCAGTGGGATCTGGGGGAGTCAGGAGTGGTTGGGGGGCATCAAGCACCCCTGAACCCTCAAATTATCACCCTGGTATTCTGCTACTGCTCTGTCTCCCCTTATCATTCCTTTATCATCACCTCATTAATTATTTGTTATTAATTGTCCCTTCATTGCCCTTTACTGGATTCTAATTACACCACCAGTAATCACCCATTATTACCTCCCAGTATTAATTACCCCCTTTATTCTCCAGCACTCCCCCTGTTATTAGACTGCAACAGAACTCTGTGATTAATTATCCCAGAATTAACTACCCCACCCCCATTATTAATTATCCCATCACTCCCTGATCTGTTATTGTCTTTTTACCCCCATCACCCCCTTATTGCCCCAATAAGACCCACTTATTACCCCTTCTTTACTTATTACCATGCCATCAACTTTCCCAGGTGTTCTTGCACTTCTAGTTTCCCCTCGCCGACCCCCCCATCTTGCCTAGGTGCTCCTGCATCTTGATCTCCTCCAGATGTCCCCTCAGGCCCCCCAGGTTGCTCGTCCAGATGTCCCTCTCACCTTGCCCAGGTGCTCCCGCACCTCGAGTCCCCCCAGGTCCCGCAGAGCCTCGGCCGCAGCCCGGGCGAGCGCCCACTGCCCCCCGGCACAGAGCACGTGCAGCAGCCTGGGGGTGGAGCAGGGTTACAGGGGACCCCCTTGGCCTCTACCCACCCGCCACGTTCCACCCAGAACACAGACCCCACAAAAGGACTTGTCACCCCAGAGCTCCTCCCAGTGCCTCACAACTGCCCCTGGGGGCTTCCCAGCACTGCCTTGTCCCAGTGACCCCCCATTGACTCCCTGCTGACTTCCACATTGACTCTCCTATTTACCCCACACTGATCTCACCCACAGACCCCACTTGATCCCGTTGCCCCCCACTGAACACCACACTGACCCCACTCACCCCACTGCCCTCCCATTGCACTGTTATGGGCCCCACTGACTGTCCTTCACACCAGTGACCCCCTAAATTGCCCCCCATTGACGCCCATTTGCTTCAGTTTAGCCCATTGACCCACCATGGACCCCTTGACTCCAGTACCCCGTTATCACCCCCGTACCCCCCAGTGCCCTCCCATGGCCCCCCTGCTCACGTGTCCCCCTCCTCGTCCTGCCACAGCAGCTCCCGGGGGTCTCGGCCCCCCAGTGCAGCGCGGGCGGCTGCCAGGTCCTGGGGCTCAGGATACGGGTCTTGGATCTCCCTTCCCAGCAGGGTGGCCCCAAATTCTCCCCACGGCACTGCGG